CATCAACTTATTGCGTTTGTGCATTCTGCAAGCGGGACTAGGTTTTGCTTGTGTGCGGGGTTGCCTGCCAACAGTAAATGGTGCACCGTGTGCTTGGCAACAGTAACTGGTGCACCGTGTGGCTGGCAACAGTAACTGGTGCACCGTGTGTCTGGCAACAGTAACTGGTGCACCGTGTGTCTGGCAACAGTAACTGGTGCACCGTGCGCCTGGCAAGAGTAACTGCTGCAACGTGTGCCCACACTCATGGCAGGTGAGCCCTTCTTCGCACCATCTCAGGCCCTTAGACAGGCGTGCCAAGGGTGCTTGGAGGTGTGAGGGGATCTCATTTACTTTTCTGGAGCTCTTTTTTGAAGTATTTCAATTCCGCTGCAGCTCAATACACTCTTGAGCTAAGATCAAGCACCCTCGAAAAACTACATCCTCGGCGGTGGAAATAATCACCAAAGCAAACATACTCGAGCATGTTTTATATACATGCTGGCGCTCATATCGAATATACTGTTTTGAAGCACATTATTGTGAGCGGGAGCTCTACCGCATGAGCTGAGATCGAGATTAATTCTCAGATCAGCAGGGGAAAATGAACACTTCAACCAAAGAGTGTGGGCGCAATTCAGCGCTGCGGTAGAGTGAGGGCGGGAGATTGCGACTCCTTCAAGCTGCTAAATATGGCGAAGAGATTCTACACACATCCCGGCCATTAGCACAAGACTATCGAATGATGGCCATGCCATCTGGAAGGCGTGCCGCACCGGCGTGCAGTTGGCGCTAGCAGCATCAAAAAGAATCACAGCACCGGCAAACGTTGCTGGCCCTTTCCCCGGGGTCATTTTCCCTTTGGTTTTTTGCACTCAGCGCTTCAGCCCACTTCCCTACGGACGCACAGGCGCATGAGAATGCGCCTGTGGTTGCTGCAAGGCAGGAGAGCCTATGGGGGCGGGTGCATCGTGATATAGCTGCGCGTGGCACGCATTCACCAAATGCAGTTTTCGGCATCCCTTCATATGAGGTTAGATTAAAGCAGAACATACAAATATGAGTGTTGCAATTCACTGCAATCCCCTTCCTCTCCTCACCAGCCCCTGGCCCTTGGCCTGGTGTCGGTGTGTTCAGGACCCAAGCCCTGAGGGATGTCAGCTAGCTTTCAGGAGATGCCATATGAAGTATTCTGACTTTCCTGCATGACAGTTTTCCACTACAAAGATCGAGGACTTCGGCAACACCGAAAATCCTGAGCCTACGGAAGGGGATAGTGCTTGCACCGAAAACGGGCTTGAATAATACTTCATGAAACTGTAACGCATTTTTCTGGTTACCACTGGCCACTATTCATGTAAAACGTTCATGTTTCTACATCTCCGTAGCACCAGGCACGCTTATGTTGATGCTCCTACAACCCATCGGGAGACGCACCAAAACGAGGCTTACGAAGCCTAATGCCTCATAGTGAAAGGCACGAAGCGTTCATTAACTAGACAGAAACGCAGTTTTTACGGAGATTCGGCAATCTCACGTACAGGCACCTTCAACACCTTGCATACAAGCACACATAGTGGGAAACCTTGGACTTCACCCTAATGCACGGAACCTGCGGCTCAAAGAAATGCTGAGGAATAGCGAAGAAGTCGCTTCGTTACAAAGAAGCTCAATTACCCGAGTTCGTACAAATTAGCCTGCGCCAATTAGTAGGAAGGTACGCCCGGTGCAGTTTGGGGCTGGGCGAAACAGTCGGCAAGCGAAGAAAATAAATAGCCCCACTAATATATCTAAGGCACATCAGTAATCTTTTTTGTATTCTCATGAGCGCGTTTGATGTGATTTGGAATTCCCTGGTGGTCGTTTTTTGCCAGTATCGGCATTGCGTTCGTTGCAGCTGAAGCAGGTGCTACTAGACCCTTGTCGGCAACGTGCACCGGACCATTTACAACATTGTTGTTTCTGTAGTGTAATTCTTCAGTAGGCTTTTCGTTGTTATTATTCAAGCGCCACTCGACACTTAGGTCCAATGTAGTGCCGGGCCCTGCAATCGCAAACCGCTCTGAATTTGGCTTACCGAAAATGGATTCCCCAGTGCAGGATTCCCTCGCGGGCGACTTGGGCCCAGGTGAATTTTTCATCAAATTACTATTCTTATGCCACTAGGGTCCTTGCAGAGGTACCATCAACGCGGGGGTCCTCGCAGGCTCTTGCAGACCGGCGCGAGACAGGAGACGCATCCTACGCGTTTGGGTTTAGTGTTTTTTCCTGCAGAATTCAAGAACGCCAAGTGCCTGAATTTATGCGAGCTTCAGCTTATTTTAGGGGACCAGCTTCGCCTGTCCGTATCTCGCCCCGCAGAAGCGCACAAGTGAGTGCTCTTTGTTGGAGCTCTTGTGAGCTGAATAACTCAAGAGTACATACACTTTCAGAAACCAGTATTTCCAGTACGTGTCTTACTTGGGGTAAACTCTAACTGAGGAAGGAGTCACGCAGGCTACCAGCTCCGGCCTCCTGCGGCAGCAGTTCCCACCATCGCTTCCCACGTTAGCAGCAGCATAAGCTGTTAGTGTTGCTGTTGCTGTTACATCATTCCCATGTTACATCAATTAACTGCTGGCAGCGGCAGACGCAGGGCACATGATGCGCCCGTCTTGTGTTTTTTGCTTTTGTTGATCCCGGGTGTATTTTCCGCAGTCTAATAAAAGCTTCTTACGAGTATTCTTCGCGCTTTGGGAAGATGACCGTCAGGACGGCTGTTGTGGAGATTCGCAAGTATGAGCACGGCCCACTATTAGCCACAGGGGCTGCTGTTGGTGCTGGCCTTGCACTGCTACTGCTGAGGCTAATGCTGCTGCTACAACTGCAGGTGTTGGTGCGTGCATGCATGTCGCCTGCAGTTCAGCCATTGCAGAAGTGCTGCTACTGCTGCTGCTCCTTGTGGGATTGCAGGCATCTTGAGCGGGAAGGGGACCTGCAGCAGTTTGAACTGGCGTTGTTGGTTAATCTGCTTCCCCGCACCCCCGACGAGGCCAAGGCACACATCCCTTCCCTTATCCGCCTCTCTCCTGCTCGACTTTCACGAATTATTGACACCTTGGAGGTTTTCAGGGTGCATGCGTCCTAAAGCAGCGTCTGCAGCTGCTATG